TAGTTGACTGCAGACTTCACAGAGGGGAAGGAACATCAAAGTGAAGACAAGGTGAAAGGAGAGAGGGAACAGAAGAATGATTAACAGATGCAAAAGAGGCAGACAGGCTCAAAGGTAGTAAAAAAGGTAGGATGAGTACTGTGGAAGTAGTGGAATATGACATACAATAGGGTGATGGTAGTTTGAAGTGAGAAGTCAACTGCCGGTGTATAGACTTTTTTGCCGTATGAGTATACGTTGTCCTTGATGTACCACGTGGAAGTAAGTCTATCGTATAAATAGAGCTAATGAAAGTTAGTGGTGCTCATTATGTGTGCTCAATATCATTTATGACATTCTAGACTCTTTTGGTTTCTTGGTCAAGTTACCAAAGGTCAGAGCATACGTGAGTTTGCAGTGTGTGCTACATGCTTTTAACAAGCCCTCTTAATTTTCATCTCACACAGATACAATAATTACTGCCTCAGCAATATGCACCTCGGTTCTTGTGGTTCTTCTTGCCCTAATCATTGTCTGCATCATCCACCGCATAAGGAAGAAGTGAGTCTCTAATTCCTTTGACATAAATACAGATTTTTATTCTTCCATCTCTTCATTTCTTTAATTTCAGGCGTCTAATAGACAGCGAATGGAATTCCCCCAATCCCGAGTACTGGCATGTATATGAAGTGGACGATTGGGAGATGCAATTGGAGGATATTGACGCTCTCAACTTCCGCCATCCTCTCGGAAAAGGCAACTTCGGTATGGTGTATCGAGGTCTAGTGAAAACCCTGCGAACTCCGGCTCATTGCTTCTATACAGACCCTAGCAATATCGCTGCTGCTATTAAGGTACCTAAGAAAGCTTGTTTATTTTGACCCTTGTAATCATTGTAAAAAAATTCGATCGGTTTAGCCCTCTGGTCCCAAAAATTACCTCTACTGTCTGCTTTCTTAACATTTGACTGGTTTGTAAATAGCGTAAAGTGGACTTATCATCATTAACAGAACCCTCGACAAATGGTAAAGTGAGTGGATCGACAGACACTGAGAGTAAGGTCTCTATGAGTTTCACTTCATTCCATTTCTGAAATCCGGTTGCATGAAGTTCTAATAAGCTGGTAGTTCACCTTTCGAAATTCTTTTTTTTTATTCATGCAAGGATTGCCATTAATGCCTGTCTACGGCATGCAGTGCTTGTTAACCAATGCTTTCACCAAGAACAGCAAATTTTGATGGCTTAGAGTTGTGGTAACTGAAATTTTCAGAAGACGTGCTCTTTCATATTTGACGGTCGCTGAAGCTGTACAACTAGATGATAGCGTCATTCTACTTACAAAATTATATACCTTACACTATTTGAACGAGCAGCTGTAATAAAATTGTTTGGTGGTGGGTTTGTGATGTTTTTTTCATGGAACCTTTTATAGTTTTTATTTTCTGCTCGGAAGTATATGCGGTGTTCCAGAAAATTTTTTTAAAAGGTGCATTGAATCTGAGTGTTCTTGCTGATATGTCTGTTTGTAAGTGTATGCACATCGCTTTCCTTATCATCAAAATATCTTTGGAGCAATGGTTTACATTTTTGCAGGAGTCATTATTGTTGATTGTTTTATCCATGGCGGTTCAATCCAACTTCCATATCTTCTTCATCATTATTTCTTAGTTAGATTTGTATAAACATTTTATTTAACCTTTTCCTCGGCATTCGTTGGCTTGATATTTATAACAAATGGCAGGCCTTTTGATAGTTATCATTAGCCCTTTTGTTGACTTCGGGTTTCACAGAGGGGAGGAGAAACATCAAAGTGAGAAGAATTCTAGAGGGAGAATAGAAGAGTGATTCACGGATGGAGGAACATCAAAGTGAGAAGAATTCAGGAGGAGGAATAGCAGGTGAGAAGAATTCTAGAGGGAGAATAGAAGAGTGATTCACGGATGTAAAAGAAACAGACACAAAGGCTCCGAAAGGGTAAGGTGAGTGCTGTGGAAGTGGTCGAATATGGCATACAGTGGGGGGTGATGGTAGTTTGAAGTGAGAAGTCAAATGCCGAATAATAGACTTTTTCCCGTATGAGTATACGTTGCCCAGGGTGCACCACGTGGAGGCAAGTCTATCCCACACCCCTCGTTGGCTTGATATTAGTTATATTGCAAAAATAATTGAGGAAACTACATTGCAGCCCAAAGGCAGTTTTAACTGTAGCTTTTAAATTAATTAGTGGTACTCATTAAAATTTACTGGAATTGTGGTCATGAGGGTGCAACAAGGCAAGTAAATAGATGGTGGAGGGAGAAAGGAGTGGAGTGTGTTGGGTGAGGTGGAGTGGGTGGGGGGGGGAGGGTTGGAGTAGAAATAGAGATTGATATCTCATAACCATGTGCTTTAATTTTGCTATCTTATTCCCCATTTACTTGAATGGGTGTTTAAATTTCTAGATATCAGGGGTTAGTTCATGCTCGTGATGTTGGTAGCCTCTTGAAACGTCATGTACTTATATTAACCAAATACCCTGTGTTGATGCTGATCTGAATTTTTCTGTCCTAATAGTTGTCTTTAGAAGGTTTCACTATAAATTTGTTCCTTTGTGTGTGTATAAGAGCGCTTCGGCTTGCTTCAATGGTCATAGTTCAGTTTAAGTCCAGTTCGATTTTAGAAACGTAAAAGGACTTATATGTTTGAGATTGGCAGTAGAGAGTGAAAGTGAAAGTGCCGTCGAAATGGCAGCTAATTACGTAGTTATAGCTATTTTCTACATATAGCTTTGTTTGCTCTCATTACATTAGTGCCTAAGTCGTCAACTAAATAACGCCATTCGGAGCTTGTTTATTTGTCCCCCATGGCAGATCGTAAAGGCCTTCCAAATTTTCCCAATGGAGATTAAACCAGATACATGTGTGAAGTGAAAGTTAATAAGGGTTGGATATATTCACCCTTCAAATTAAAGTCCTTCAGGCATCTCCTTTCTTTTCTTCATCTACGGAAAATCTGGATAACGAATATTGATGCAATTTTTGTAGCAATCCTCTTTTCATCCGAATCACGCATCATCCATCCACTGGACAATCAAGTCTGCTAGTTGGTAGCTTATCTTTTTTGGATCGTGTCGATCCATCAGTCGATCGATGCCTTCTCATTTAACCTTCAGTTGCAAGGAGTCGACAAAACCGAGAATCCACTCTTATAAATCCTCTTTTTGCCCACCTTTCGGTTGGGGTTGATGTTCAATAAAGCGGTAAATCGGTTTCTTCTTCGAGTTCAGATTTCAAATTCCATCCTCTTGTTCATCGAGTGGCTGTATAATATCTCCTTTTAATGTTTCCAGACAACTCTTCGTGTACAGTTTTGGTGAATCTAATTGTGCTATATGGGATTCGAATTGAATTTTACTAAAACATTCCATTACGTATTCCAACTATTAGGTAGGCAACTAAGTCATTGCCGATGTCAAATAAGAAGGCAAAT